GTGGTCGTTGGGGTCGATGGACCCGTCATACTTGTCTAAAGGAGGGAGTTTGAAGTCTCTGGGCATGGGGACTGCAAGGAGTTCTGATGAGAGGGGGGAAGGAACTGAGAGGATAGGGGTAGCTTTTATCTCGTCCGAGCTTATCCCTTTACCTTTGAGCTCGGGCAGGGCACGGGTGGCAGTTCGGCGACTTCGCTGATGCCTTCGTTGAGTAGGCCTGGTACTGGCACTGCTGGTCTCTGTGTTGCCGAGCTCGATGGGCCCGGAATGTTGGTAGTCCGCTGCTAAGGTGCTGAATCGGTTCTCTGAGAGTGGGAACTCGGGCTTAGAGTGCCGAGGTGCTGATTTTGCGGGTGAGGTCCCGGACCCGCCTGCAAGTTGCGAGGTGGGGGCGATTCTTCTTTCCCTTCGGCCCGGGGACGAGGCCTGGCTGTTGGGGGGGTTCTGAAATCGGGAGGCAGCTCGGTGACGGCATCCATCCTGGGGGGAAGCCTTGACCGGCCTTGGGGTGGGGTGCCGAGGCGGGAGCTGCGGTTGGTTGATGGGCAGTTGGGGGAAATGCTGTTGGTAGTGATATTGAGAGAGGTGGTGCAGTACTTGGCGTTGCTGGAGCTGATGCTGCTGAAACTGCTGCATTTGGGCTTGCATTGCCCGCATGCACTGCATCAGGTCGTCAAACTGGCTCTGGCTAGTCACCAGGGGGATAGCGGTTGGTTCAGTAAAGGTTGTTTCGATAGGGAGTGGAAAGGGGACACCCATGGGAAGGTTTATGGGCACCACTACTTGTGGCGCACTCAGGGTGGGGATTCCGTCCACTAGAAGGGGGATGGTGATCTGCGCGATGCACACCACGGGGACTTGAAGTTGTTCCCCGGGGGCGTTCATCTCCGTGCTACGTTCGGCGTTGCTGGAAGAAGCCATGAGTGTTGGGGTTTCTTGGAAAAAGAAGGTTATAAGAGTTTTAGAGGGAGGCTTTTAGAAGCGTTTCCCACAGACGGCGCCAATTGATGGGGCGCAATCTGGCCGATCTTAGCTGTCAACGACCTTGCCTCTGACTGGATCAACAGGGGGCCTGAAACAGGAAAAGGGGTAGAGAATCTCCGGGGAGGGACCCAGTGAGATTGCTCCGAAGCTCAAGTCAGTATTCTCTCAAAGGCAAGATAAAACCAGATGGCGCAAAGTTCACATACCTTGTTCTTGGGGGTAGGAAGCCTTTTATAACCACCTCACACACTCACTCCCAGGCTTCTGTCAGGTCGATATGACTTCTG